CTTGATTCCTTTAGAGCCTAAACCCAAGCTCTAGCACCACTGAAAATCAAAGATTTCTTAACTTCCTACTGGGTATTTGCTGTGTACTTCTAACCAGTGACAACTGGCTTTTCAAACAAACAAATGATTACTGAATCACGAAATATGTGATGCACTTTTACCAGTGACTCTAAATATGGCTTCTATAATACCGAGGGAGTTTGGTCCCATAATTGGAGGAAGAGGAAACGCAGTGCCAACAATTTATTAAAAAAATCTGTAAAAAAAAAAAAAAAATCTCTTAAATAGATTTTCAGTAAAGTATGTGCAACAGGTTTTATTGGGACTTGTTAGCAATGACCTGCATATGTCATTTGTATGAATACGGCCCTATGAAATGCATGGTGATGAGACACATTTCACTACGTTGCCCTTTATATAGACTCTATTTATACACGAGGATGAATGAATTGACAAGACAAGAGGTGCGGCATATAGATTTGATATACTGGCATAAATTTAGGATGATCTACATTATTCATAAGCACTGAAGCCACAAATGAGATATGTAACAACATCCAAAATGAGTGTCAATAGAATCTGTTCCCGCAGTGCACCATCGTATATTCCTATCTGTCACATATTCCTTAGAAATTTCTCCTTCTAAGAAATCTGGTGTGCTCAGTCTGGAAAGCAACGTTGCCTTGGGATCTGCAACAAGACTTGCCTGGAAGAATCAGCTTTCAGAAAACTGTCTAAAAAGAAGTGGACAGAAAACATGAAGAATTTCCTGCTACCAAATGATTGCCTTTTTTTTCCAATCCAGCTGGGCCGTAGTTGGGGACCCAAAAGTTATTTGGATCAGATTAATTTCTTGGTGTCTTAAAAACCGCAAAATCAAAACTAAAACAATTAAGTTATCACCAGTTCAGCAGGAAACAAATACGACAGAACTGACAAATAAACTAATCCCAAGTCTATTTTTACAGGCTGAAGAGGTAGAGGGATGCAAGTCTACGTTTTGGAAAAACACGTACGGGCCAAAACATCAGATACTGTGAAGCTCACTAGTCGTTAATGGATGTTTTTAAAAGGTTTAATTTACTCCAAGTACACCCAGTATAGGATTTGATTATTCTCTTTATTGCCACAACATTTCGGGCACAAAGATGTGGATATTCAGAATAAAACCTACTTCTTTTTCAGAAACTGTTTACAGAGTATTGGTTGTAAGAAACCAAGAAACAGAAGGAGTGTGAAAAAGAGTGGTATAAAAATATTGAAGATTAATGGCCATTTTCAGCCAGATACAAACCAGAAGCTCTCCACAGAAGTCCTTAACCTCACATGTGAAAGGGAACTAAGTGTTTTCACCTGCTAAAATCTCAGTCTGGATTTCAGATGAGTGACCTTGACTTGAAAGATTTTGTTTCCTATCTGAACCATCCAATCACACCTATCTCCCCATTTAAATAAATACAGAAGCCTTACTGAAACACAAGTCATAAATAAGGCCTTGCACTGTCAAGTAAAATAAAAAGTGCTTACTGTCTTTAATAATTTTAACTTTAAAACATATCAATACTCTTTAGTTTTACAACTATGAAGATTTTGAACATGTTCTTCTCACTAATGTAAGAAAATACGTACATGAAAACTACTTCTGGAAATATCTATTTTATGGTAACTTCACAGTAAAGCAAAAGAAAAGGAAAGGTACCTGGAATTTCAGTGAAAGCCTCTCCAAGGACGGAAACATGAAAAGGTAGATCTTTCTCTTTCAGTTTCAGCAGGACTTTAAAGAAAGTCTCCGGATCTTTATCATGTTCCCTTGAAACAAACAGAATTTATCTCAGCATCATTTACGTTTACTTGTGGAACTGTATTTTTTTGTTTATCAGAACAGTATTTCTCTTAAATCGTACTTTTGGGGATTAAATGTCTTCGGCATAATTTCCCGCTTTGCTTATGCTACACAGTTGAACATTTTCCTCAACCTAGCAGTTGGGATCAAGACCCAGTTTCATCAGATTCTTACCACTCTTCCCTGTCTTCAAATGATGCCTCTGCTCTTCAAATTACCAACTTTGCAAGTGAGATGACTTGAGTAATATCTCACCTAGCTGAAGGCAAAATCACATTAAAAAAAGGGTAAGATAGGAAAAAAACATTTTTTTTTTCCCCATCAAAAAAATATGTATACGATCTCCATTACAGCTTTTCAGGAAGAATAGGTTAATCAAAAACTTTGCTAAAACCAGAGAATTTCCCAAACTGCAATTTTATGAATCCATGCTATACTCGTGAAAAGCTTCTGATCCATTCAGTACTTTAGGGAAAGAAGCAAGGAATAAGCTAATACGAGGCATTTTCTACCTTTAGACTTTTTTTAAGGCATTAACTGGAAGTTAAAACAGAAAATAAGAAACCTGTACTTATTTATAATTTCAGCTGAAGGTAATATTAAATGTTTATATGGGTATGACATTCAATGCCTTGCAACACAGGTTGGTCATCTAAAAAGAAAATAAAAGCCAATTTGTTAATCCATCTTCTTTATTAGCACAGAATGAAAGGTGCAAAAGATACCACAGATGATCTATATTTTCCAGATTTGGTAAATTATATTAAAAATGAGATAATTCCCCCACTCTAAGGTAAATATTATACGTTGCATTTAATTACTCTGCTTTAAATTACTGTATATTTCAGACAGATGTGCACCATATGCCTTTAAAATATTTTGGTTTTATTTATTATTTAGAAAATTCCACTGTTTTCCTTCCTGTATTAAGGGAAAATCTATAGCTCAGCTGTCCTGGTGTCTTTCTTCACAGACTAATTTCGTAGAATGAATCTGTAGGTTTGTCACAGTGCTATATGAAAGATTAATAATTATATCATTCAGGAAATCTGAAGCCAAATGACATCTGCAGCTCTACATGTGTTAATTTCTCATTCAGTCAATATTTTTGGTTTAGGGAATTAAAACAAATTAATCTTATAATTAATGTGACTTCCCTAGGCTGAGAAATTTTCAGGAATTGTGGAGTTTTCAGAATTAGTTGCTTTTTCTTAAAATAAAGCCAGACAATAATTACTTTAAGAAGTCCTCCATCTCCCAGATTTGTTTTGTTCCCAATAATAAGGAGGAATGCAACTGCATAAGCTTCGTAATTTGTTTCACATCTGTGAACCAGGAGTTTTCACGGTGGTTCCAGAGAGCGAAGTGGATATGAGCACTGGCTCGCAGAGAGAATTTCTTCCAGTTGCAAAGATCCCAGAACTGCCTACTAGTTTGCTTGAAGCCTCACGCTTAAAATATCCACCTGTTTCTGGTAGGTAAACTATGTGCAGGAACGTGTTGCCAGTATTTTAGTTCCCTCCAAATGCCCAGCTGAAAGAGCTGAAATGGGATTACAACCGAGGACTCAGACTTGGCTGGAAGGGAACACCCCTGTCGGAAATGTGCAAGTTTGCAAAGAGAACAGCTTGGACGCTGGGAGTCAGCATGATTCGTTATCATATTTCCTGTTAGCCTCAGTTTCCCCTAGGCAGGCTTCTGAGGGTGTTTGATGAGTGATCCCGACGAGCCTGGGCTGTACGTGATGCTGAGCTATGCACAGCTCATCCCAAGGTGGACCCAAGCATCCCCGTTACACAGAGCAGCAGCCTCGATAGACAGAGCCATGACGTTTACAGGGATCTTTCCAAGCTCTTCACAGCCCCGCTATCGGCTTCGCAGTCACAAAAAGTCCTTCCAGCAGAGGATATGCTTTCCCTCTCCCTTTCCAGAAGAGACCAGGGGTCCCAGAGGCAGCCAAAAGTGGAGGATGCTGTTGGAGCCACATTGTCAAGGAGCTGGCAGGAGAATACGGAGCCTTACAGCTCGTCAAAGCCACATAAGCTGCACATATTTAGGAAAACTGATAGGAATTGGAAGTTGCAGCTTTGTTTAATAGGTGGGGAAGAACAGAAGGAAAATTTGGCACCCAGAAGGAATGCTGAAAGGGGAAACGTTTCCTCTGCACTGGAGCCTCTCTTATGGGTTTTCTGCTGTAGGTGATCCTTCTTCCATATCCCCTTTTAAAATATTTTGCTTTCATGTGATACTCACAAATTTTAATGACACGTTTTGTGATTCTCGTAGCTTTTCTATCTGGGAGGTCATCTCATTCGATTTGTTAGTTCCTGTGACTTTCCCGCACCACAACCCTTTGATTTTCAGTTAAGACCTACAGTGAAGAGCTTCTACCACGTGCACCTACAGACTACAATGCATTGTTACTCTTGCAAGTTAGTAAAGGTATATCTGCTCCCGGTAGAAAGCAACCAATACTACAAGACCACCTCTTTACTGCATCAAAAAGATGAGAGCTCTGTTTCTTGGCTGACATGGAGAAAATCATATACAATCCAGTCTGCCTTACTCAGCAACAACTGCTAAACACACCAGATTGTCATAGCAGTGATCGTGGAAAAAGATGAACACAATATGGAATGTCTGTTCTGTAAAGATCTGCTCAAAATGACGTGCACTTTTGGCTGCATCTGTTGCATTTTTGAGCTTTATTAAACAGTATTAATTATATAGACTCCATTTCCTTAAGAACTGCAAAACTGTATAGAAGCCCAATATTAAAATGCAAACTTGTCTTTTAAGATATTGTGTTTGGGGGAAAATGAAGCATTTGAAGATTCTAGGGTCTGCCTTTGTTTAGTTTAGGTTACTTGAAATGGCCTTGTATTTTTACTTGGATTTGATATGCATCTGGTAAAGGAAAAATACGAACTGAGCGTGGTATGAAGATGCTCTACATTTTGTCGCAAGACCATGAAAACATCAGAATGACCAAACTCCAGCTGTAAATGACACAAACCAGACACAGACAACATACCTATACTTGGATTTGAGAGCACTGCTGTTGGAGACACTCAATCTCCATGTTTAGACACAGCACACTGAAGTTTTTTACCAAGGACTTTTTACTTTTGAGTCTAAAACACGTTTTAAGAGAGGCATTTGAAGTCTCTTAAGAACTGGTCTGGTTATGAGAACGTGGCCCAGGGTTCAGCCTGCATTAGTGATTTCCTTTTGTAATCTGAAATAAAACTTTCAAGACTGTCCTTGCAATGGGCACTGGGAGGGTGGTGGTACCAGCAGCACCAGTATTGAGCCTCTATTATCTCTGCCTTAGATTTTCTGTTTAGAAAATGGGTGTGACAGTATTATTTTTTCACCACAGAAGGATGCTGTCAGGATTAATTGATGACTTGACATCCCTCTTTTCAGCCTAAAATGATTTTAAAAAGCAACTTCATAGCACTATGATGATGCTCCTCTATACAGTCAATGGCAACAGTCTTCAAAACACCCTTCTGCTATTCAGGGATTTTGTGAATTCAGCCAGAGCCCTCCAGCCTTACCCACTGCTGGAACTGGAAGGAGAGTACACAGAGACCAGCTAAACTGGAGTTATTCCCTGGAGATGAAGGATACCCATATCCCTGACCAGTGATAGAAAGCATATTTGAAAAAAAAAATAAAAAGAAATAGCCAAACTTGGTCCTTTACATTATTCAGTGCATATTCGTCTCTTGAATTTGAGTGAAATTCAGTAAGAGACCCATATGGTCTTCTGGGACTTAAGTTTAATTTCTTAAGTATATGTAAACTTATCATACATGGTGATAATCACAGCTATTTCAGATTTGGAGGAAGACACATCTAGATATGCAATTAGAAAGAAGACTTGTGGAAAAGAGACAGGACTTGCTCAAAGTGGCAAAATAAATGCAGTCTATTTAAAAAAAATATATTAAATATCTAAAAATAAAATATATACTAAAAATATACTAAAACCTGTGGCTTATGAAATTTAATCAGTAGTGCTAAACCAGGGGAGAAAGTTTTAACAGTTGAGAAAATACTGCATAAAGGGTACGTAACGCTTGTGACAGCAACAGCCCTGTCGTGCCATCTCTTGAGGTGCTACACATTCTGAAAGGGTTACAAATAAGCTCAGCTATAAAAGCAATATTAAAAGGGTTGATCTTAATCTTCTTACGACATTTAGCGTGGGAGATTTTCAGGGGTAGAGAATCCCAAATTGTGAGGGCATGCAGTAATATTTCATTTTTTACTGTGCCTTAAATCCAAGCAGTTCAAACCGGGTGCATCTCCTACCTCTTCATTTCATAAAATCACCTGAACGTCAGATGGGCAAAGGTGAGAAATGGCAATGCTAAACTAGGTAGAAAATTTTCAGAAGTTAAAGGGGCATTTTAAAAATTTTTTTAGAATTTTTTTTAGCCTATATAGCAAGAGCTAAAAGACAGATTTCTGCCTACCTGCAACTATTGCTAGAAAATGGCTGACATAATAGGCCACTGAAGATTCACTCATTATTTATGAAGCTGGGCAGCAGAAGTGGAGACAGAGGGCTGGCGAGCCAAGAGACACCCAGGGAAGAGACAAAGGGACAGGGGACATCAGTTGGGGAAAGGCACGGCTGCAGCAGAGCACAGGCAAGGCTTGAGGGGCAGCGATGGGGCTGGGGATGTCGGTGAGCACAGAATCAATAATTAAAAGTGAAGGAAATGAAGTTTCTAAGACACAGACCTCGAAGTGTATGACAGCGGTGCTTTAGTTTTGGGGAACTGAAATAGAGAGGAGTGTGGTCTGGCAGCAAACAGGGTGGACAAGATGGGTAAAGTAATGTAAAGGGGAAGAGAACCTGAAGAAGAGCAAAAAACCACAAAACCAACACCAAATATACAAGTTGAAAACTAAAAAAAATGGTGGCATCCCCAAACCTAGGGGGAAAAGA